GGCGGACTCCACCCAGAAGCCAGGAGGCTGTGTATGTGTTGGAGGCTGGAAGGCCTAGAGAGGCTGAGAGAGCCAGGCACCCAAGGTGTGTGGGTGTGAAATCAAAGGCTGCTGAAAGCTACTCAAAGGGCCCAGTGTATTCCCGAAGAGATCCTGTTGAGGAAAACAGTAAGGTCCTGGGACACTGAACGGGATAACCTGTGAAGGGTGAGTAGATATGTATGCTGAAGAAAGCTATGCTTGTTGAATTTCCTTTTTCTGTCTTTGGAATTAATAAAAGACTCCTTTGTTATGTGAAAATGGCTTCATGACTGGTCCTTAAGCGCTCACCATATGTGCTAGATTCCCCCCAATATCACAGTGCGTACAGTTCATTAAAATTTCTATTTGGAATGATGCATTCTGGGAATGCAAATGGTGCACGCATATACGCACATACGCTCGTAATATACACGCAATAAACAATTTTGCTCGCATTGTGTGAATGAGGCCTAAGTGATTACATAAAAATCCCTACTGTTTTAAGCAAGACATATTGTAGTTAAAATAAAGGACTGTTGAGGCCATTTAATTCCAATTAAACTCTCAGTTTGAATCCGCTAAATAAATTCCGAGTACAAAAAGGTGTGCAACTATTTGTCTTTTTTAGAAAATAGCTACATCCAGAGTGGTAATGCCTGTCCTCTGCCAGCATGCTGCACAGGACTTCTGCACTCTGTGTGGAAGCAGTGGTCTCTCTGTAGAAGTATCACACCCCTTCTTCAGTGAAACCTGTAGCTTTATGGTGCGCAAACCTCTATCGCTTTTTGTTCGGAAATCTTCCACGAATGGTCTTTCGAACGATAATCAAACAGTTGATGGGACACCAACGATTTGTTTTTTACTGTAATCCCACTCTCTTGGGATTGGGGGTGAGCCCTGAAACAATTCTCATATATTTCTGGTCAACATCCTCTTAGCTGTGTTTGTTTTTTTAATTTGTGATGTAAACAATTGTTCAATTAAGGGTAGTCGCTCAAGTTCTACAAAATGTCTACAAAAAGTCAGTGTCTTGCCATGCGTTGCAGTGCGCTGCAATACTGGTGTGTTTGGGTGCCATTTCAAATGACCAATGAGTATTACCGCAATGCAATGGTGAGAATCTGACCTTTTACAGTTTATTTTCTTTAGAAAGCAGCCAGATCCTGAGTAGAAAAGCCTGTTAACATGCTATAAAGATGCTGTATAGAGGAATTCTTGCTCCCTGTGCAGAAACAGTGGACGTTCTGCAAAGTTCTGACAAACCCCTTACTGACTCAGTTAGCAGTGACCATGAGTTTTGAGGACTGTAAGGGCTAGTTAACACCAAGCGCACAGCAAGCAGTTACAGAACGGATCAAAACTGCGTCCAATGTATTCCAATAGTATTTTGGGCTCTAGTTCACACCAGAGCGTTCAGTTCCAGAGCATGTAGAAAAACTGCAGTATGCCCTATTTTTTCTGCTCTGGAACGCACCAAAACGCATGCAAATGCACTGGAACGCACTGAAAGCCGTTCAGTGAGTTGGCTGGTTGTATGCAATATGGATGGGAATTTTATAACACGTTGACCCTAGATCACTTCACATGTGACAGCAAGATTGACATGCATTTATGTCCCATCATATTACATCAAGAGGCTGGAAAACTTTTTTTGAATCTTATTAAAATCGATGGATTAAAGGCATTTTTGTACGAAAAAAATCGCAGCAAGAACACTGCATATGCGCAAATGAAAATCCGTTTTGACAAAATTTAGTTAATACTAGAGTTAGTATTGCTAAGGAACGATTATCGAAATCGACATTTGTCTGTGCTTGATGGGCTATTTGAGCTGGAATCAAACAAGGGTTCTTGGCAGCAACGAAAATGTCCAATTCAAAATATATAGGTGTATGGCCAGTCTTAGGGCTTGTTCAGACCAAATGCAGACCGGATCTGCATGAGTTTATGTACATGCAGTGCAGTGTGTTTTGATGCGTTTTTAAGTCTAAAATTGGCTTTCAGTGCGTTCCAGTGCATTTGCATGCGTTTTGGTGCGTTCCAGAGCAGAAAAAATAGGGCATACTGCAGTTTTTCTACATGCTCTGGAACTGAACGCTCTGGTGTGAACTAGAGCCCAAAATACTATTGGAATACATTGGACGCAGTTTTGATCCGTTCTGTAACTGCTTGCTGTGCGCTTGGTGTTAACTAGCCCTTACAGTCCTCAAAACTCATGGTCACTGCTAACTGAGTCAGTAAGGGGTTTGTCAGAACTTTGCAGAACGTCCACTGTTTCTGCACAGGGAGCAAGAATTCCTCTATACAGCATCTTTATAGCATGTTAACAGGCTTTTCTACTCAGGATCTGGCTGCTTTCTAAAGAAAATAAACTGTAAAAGGTCAGATTCTCACCATTGCATTGCGGTAATACTCATTGGTCATTTGAAATGGCACCCAAACACACCAGTATTGCAGCGCACTGCAACGCATGGCAAGACACTGACTTTTTGTAGACATTTTGTAGAACTTCTCACCTTTTTCTGATATTGAGCACTCCTCCTCCATGCACAATTCCTTCAATTGTAAGTTGTCTGTAAAGGTGCCCAAGGGAGACAAATGCCGAACGGGCCAGTGTGCGCACGCGCACACTGCCCGTTCAGCATTGCGGTCATTGGATGCCAGCCCCTCAGCGGGGCGGGTTTGCGATGATCGAGAGTGCGATCTGCCTGTCCAAGATGGGCAGATCGTATGTTTTTTTAATCACTTTACAACCATCGCAAGACTAAGGTCTTGCGAGGGTTGTACAGTGTATGGCCACCTTAAGAGTCCCTGCACAAAGAGCATTTTTAAATTAGGGTTGCCACCTGTCCAGGATTCACCCGCACAGTTCGGGTTTTGAATGCTGTGTGCAGGTTTCATGGCACAAGGAACCCGGACACAAGATGTCAGGTAGACAGGGGCAACCAAAATTAAGATAAGGGCTACTGGCCCCCCACACTAAAAATAGTCTCAACTATTTACATATTAATGGATGGTGCCTTTTACATATGAATAAGCCACAACTAATTCTCCCAAAACAATATGTCCACGTGTCGCTAGAGTGTTCGGGTTTCGCTTGAAGAAAAGGTGGCAACCCTAGTTTAAATCCCCCCACAAAATGTAATGGGATTTAAATCAGACTTTTGACTAGGCCAGTTCATAACCATGCATTTCTTCTTGTTGAGCCAATCCTAGGTGGGTTTACTAGTGTGCGTTATGTTGAAAGATACATTTCCAGTCTAACTTCAACTTTCAGACACATGGTCTCAAATTCTCATTAAACACACTTTCTTATGATGCTGCGTTGGCTCAATAACTGCAAGCAGCCTCGCATCATAACATTTCCACCCCCCCATGCAAGGAGAACAGGAAGCACCGCTCCTCCACAGCTCAGGAAAGGAATGAGCAGGGTTCTTGCTGCTGGGAGCACATCCTTACTCCAAAAAGAGCCCATACAAATAGAAGTAAAGCTGGCCGAAACACCGGATTCCACTTGTTTATTGGAGCTTGTACCACATCACTGGTGTCCCGTCCATGGTCTGCCCCCTCCAAGGGAGTAGACATACGTCAACAGCAAAAAGACCTCCAGATCCTGGATGTCTGAGATGTAAATAAGACAGGTTCCACCTGCATTCTCCCTAAGGAGGGTCTAATCATTGCCACCCTAATATGAAACATTAATTGCATGGCTTTTAGGTGGTGTAAAATTATAGGGTTGTACTTATTAATATTTCCATGTGAGAGATCAGCAGTTTTGTTGATTTAGATTATGGGAATGAAAACACCGATTCTCTGTTTCATTTCATTTGTTCAGGTATATCGTCTTTTATCTGTAGGCATCGTTTGAACAAAGGTCTAATGTTTGCCTGTATGTTTAAAAAGTCAACAATTTTCATGAAATGTATTTACAGTCCTGTGAAACAAGTATTTGTTCTGAAACCATGCAAGAAATGCTTAAAGGGTAAGCTCACCTTTTCATAAAAAAATGAAAAAGATGAACTCATTCATAACACTTTTCCTACTGACCTGGTTCCTGCAGCATTTAGCTGATGTCATGACTATCTACGGCCACCCACACCTAGCATCATATTTCTTGCAATGGCAAGTCGTCATTGGTCAGCACAGCCACATGACCACGCCGATTGAGAAAAATCTCAGGCTCTAAAGAGATTCTCATTGGTGATAGTCACATGGCCACATAAGTGCACGTTATTGCCTGCATTATGATGTTACACAGACTCCAGGGTTCAGCGGGGACTGGGGATGTGGACAGTGTTCTGAGTTAGTTCACCTTTTAATTTTTTTAAGCTTAACTCCAGGCACATGGCTAAATACTCAGATGGTATCCATATAAGTAGCTGCCAAGGGATTTGTATTTTTGAACAACCAGTTCTGAGATTTATACACCCAGAAGGATGACACCACTTTTCCTGTAAAAGTATTAGACAGTAGAAGGAATAGTGTGGAGTCTTCTCTCCACCCCGAACCTACTGATTGGAAAGATAAGAATTGGCAGCACAGACTGATAAGGTCATGAAGTCCTAACCCTCCATCTTGCTGTACAGGAGATTGCAAGAAACTGATAGGGCTTGTTCACACCAAGTGCAGAGCAGTTACAGAAAGCATCAAAACGGCATCCAATGTATTCCAATGGTATTTTGGGCTCTAGTTCACACCGCAGCGTTCAGTTCCGGAGCATGTGGAAAAACTGCAGCATGCCCTATTTTTTCTGCTCTGGAACGCACCAAAATGCATGCAAATGCCCTGGAATGCACTGAAAGCTCATTTTAGGCAAAAAAAAAAAAATGTTCCAGGACGTGTGTAGAAACTCATGCAGATCTGGTCCGCATTTGGTGTGAACAAGCCCATTTCAAGCCAAAGTCAAAGTATCAAAAATGGTTTTGCTTGCTCTTTTTCACAGCTCAGTAACCTAATGTCTTCTGTCTGTTTATTTCCAGAGGATCTTTGTCATGAAACACTCTTACATCTAACAATGAGATGGGGTCTCCTGAATCTGTCACATTACTTCATCTCTCTGCCTGGAGGAAGAGCAGCATTGACCAGAGTGAACACAGAAGGAGAGACTCCAGTAGAACTTGCTATTCGGAATGGTCACAGCACACTGGTTCATCTATTGAGCAAGTGAGTAAAGCTGCAAAAGCTTATTCTATTGAGCGTAATACTTTACTTTTCATACTTTACAATTGGCTTCACCGATCTTTTTGACTGGAGAACAATAGTCACATTGTGATACTTTTGAGTATGGAGAAAAATGTGATTTACACCCCTTTCTTCTACATAAAAGCACTATTGGAACCCAGAGCTGCCATATGAGGTCAGGGAGAGTGAGTCATTAGCCTTCTGTAAGCTCCAGGTTGCAGCTTGAAGCTTACATGGGGCTTCATCTTCTCACTTCCACTGTCAGAAGAAACAATGAGGGGGTGACAGGACGTAAAGATGTGCAGCCTTTGGGGGCAGCAATTAAGTCAACCCCTTGTTTGCCCTGATGGGCAAAGGGCATGTGAACTCGATTAATTGATAACGTTGTAGAAAAATAAAGACTTTGTGTATTTATAAAAACCTGCTATACAGACCATGCATTTGGGTTCCAGCATTCACTGGCTAATAATGACATGATGTTTTTTACAACTAGAGGGTCTTTAGGAACCCAGTTTCCTCCAGTGCCATTGTTTGATATAGACAACCTTTGCAGATTATACAGTGATAAGCCAGTGCGGTGTGTGCTGCTCTTTGGTGATGGCACCTGATATTTACTGACATGAGAATATTTCCTGTGAAAGAATGATTACCTGGAGGCCTAACCAACCCTGGTTGGGTTTTGGGATATAGAGCGGTAACCCATGGGGTTTTTGAGGTCTTTTATATGTAATTGCTCCCTGCTGTATGTTTATCAACCATGACACTAGACTACATTTTTCAAGATATTTGTGTTGATTTGTCTATCCAGAGGCATACATTTGAATTTAAACTCTTCATCCTCCCTCCCCCATCTTATCTCCAACATTATTGCAAACAACCCAGTAATGCCAACCTTCAGGAGGAAATTTGTGATTAAATGTAATTGAATAGGTTTTTCAGAATAACATTCCAACATACCAAGGCATCTTCGGGCAGTCTATAATATAGTACCAAAGTCAGAAGCTAAGGTGACAGTAGATGTGGTGAATTAGTCAGTGAGGTTGTCACTAGATTTCCAGGAGCAAGTGGTTCTTCAATGATATAATATTGCTTTAAATAGCTTGTAAACTGCTGGATGTATGCCATTGGAGGCTTCCAAAAATCTGTTTTTGGTGTATTGCATGCAGTCTAGTAGATATTTTGTCATTGTGACAGTGTCTGTGGAACCGACACAGAGTCCTGAATCTCTTTTTTTGTTTTGTTTTTGCAGCCCCTGTTATCAATGAACAGGAATCCTCTATACTGAGTGTTCCTGTTCATTTACAACATGAGGACATGGTGTGTTTACTATAACCGCAATCATGAATGAACAGGAGGCGATGTAGATCACTTCCCATTCATTCATTATTGAGTATATACTTAACATACGCTGTCCTCAATTATCTACAAACACTCAGTGATCACTGATTGCTGAGTGTTTGCACTCATCTTCTTCCTCACTCACTGTCACAGCAGGCTAAGCGAGAGAAGCTTAGCCTGCTGTGACAGCGCCGGCTGTTTCCGCCCACCCACCGCTCTGCCGATCTGTGATAGAGTGAGCGGTGTGGGAGGAGAGACGCTGGCCGCTTACAGTGCTCTCCTCCCGCAGCGCTCGGCAGGCTGACGCAGTTTCTCTCCTCCCCGCTGGGTCACAGAGCAGCGCCCAGCGGGATGGAGAGAATACACGGACGCACCGCTGTATCGGCCAGAAAATGGCAAGTGCCAAAAGTGCCATTTTCGGCCGATATGTTTCCCTAGTGCATCCCTAGTTAGAACTAGCTGCATTCATTTTTATATACACTTAAATAATGTTCTACTTTTACAGCTTTATAAACCCACTTATATGCTCAGGCAGGAGATAACCACCTATGAAAGGAAAGAGAAACGTTGATTTAGTCCACCTGAAGTGTAATCTGAGTGTAAATAAAATGGGAAGTAGTAGTTATGGTTGGCCCTGCAACCCTCCTGGGCCCAGACATTGTAATCCCTTAAATCCTACCCCCCTTATTCTCTTTTAAAAGCCAGCAAATGTAATTAATAGTCTGAATTTCCCAAAGACATTTCATAGCACATAATGGCTTATGTAAATACTCTAATGCTTTTTAAATCCCAGCGAGGACTAGCGTGCGTCCCTGCAAACATTTTCTGATTATGTATTCGTAGAGCAGGTCTGCAGACACAGTGTAAGAACTATTTATGTCTCAGACAAGGCAGAAAGTCTCCAATGTATGAGACTGTCATTCTGTGCTGCCTGGTATTTCACAGTTTACTCACAGTCCCCGTCCTGCGGCTGTGTCATTTCTGTCAGGGATGTGCACGCTGCCATTGGTATGACACAAGCACGTCCGTGTCTGCTGGTACATTGTGTTATGAAAGTCCCGTTTGTTTATAACTACTTAAACAATGCTGAGCTCCCTTGAGGCGCTGTCTGTTTTTACCAGTGCAGACGTACAGAGCTGCTCCCTTCCAGTAAGCCGGTCAGTAGGATTGCTTCCATGCTCGGCTCCATACACCCGAATCTATGGAGGTAATTCAGTTTTCTTCCAATTTAGGGATAATGAGCACGGTTTATTTCATTATACAAGATCACTGACAGCATATTTGGTGGATCGGGCACGCTGAGCAATACCATTCTTCTCTTTACATTACAGATCAGATGGTAATGTGGGTGTTGGGGGAAGAAAAGAAAATTGTCTTTTTTATGTTTATTATTTTATTATATTATTATTTATGTTTTTTTATTTAACCCTATCCTCTTCAGTTCCCAGGACATCCCTCCTCTTGACTTCTTTACAGCCCCAATCAATCAGAACTCATTTCTGCGCTTCTGTCGTACCTCTGGAGTGCTAACATTAACCAGACGAGAAGCTTCTGGAGATTCGGTGGAGTCGGATATTGGACTCTTTAGGAAATGCTTGTGTGATACAAACTTTTTTGAGAAGGTGAGTTTGATGAACTCTACTATTTATTGTGCTGCAAATTTTACACTTGTAGAATAACCACATCATTACCATTATTGCAGGTGGCACACATATATTTGTAATGACACTGGGTGAAATGGCTTTGACTCATTTAGAGGCTACTACTTTATAGGTCAAATACCTGTTTTAAATAGTCAGTTTACTTAAACTACTTATGTCTGTCAAGTGACAAGATTTCCCCAACTGAGTTCCCGTCTCTTAACCATGAATTGATTCTTAGCCAGCAGGAGGAATTTCATTGCTGCATTATGTGTAATATAAAAGAACATTCTATCAAGGAGAGTGAGACTCCTCATAAAAGCTTTGGCAGGTGATTGGTCTAGTTAACTCAGGTGTGGCGATTGCCCCCCATGACAGATAAACATGGGGTAATGCAATCCTTTTACATTATTCACTGGTGCACTGCATTGATCCCCAAACTGTTGTTTTTTTTGTTTTTGTTTTTTTTAAGGCTGAACATAGCAGTTTAAGTGACCTATTTTCAGTTCCATGACTTGCTTCAGTGTTTCCCCAAAATGCTGAAGCTTACTTAAGAGGGAGTGAGGTCTGTGCATGGCAGATGAGTTTTTAGCACTCATTTCTGTAATTCTGGTTAAAAAACTTTGAATCACAAATTGTAAGTAATTTAAAAAAAAATACTTTACTTTAAATAATGCTCAGTTTAGAAAAAAAAACATGATGTAGTTATCTTTTTCTTGTTACCGTATTAAATTTAAAAAAATAAAAATAAATATATATTAGTCCCAGAGGTAACCACTGAACACTATATTCTATTTGTAAGGTAAATGCCGGGGTGCTCAGCCACAGAAATATCCATAGAAATCCAAAGTAGATATGGAGGCACTCATGGGTCTCACAGTGCAGTTAAGTCAAAGCATCAGTGTTTTATTGTCAGCGTTTCGATGGAGTTCAGTCCAGTATATATATTTATATTGGATATATTAATATTATTATTTTCATTCTTACTATTGTATGCTATTTAATCAATTTTCATACTTTAATTTTCTGATTAGTCTATTGTTTTGCTACGCTGGCTCAAAGCTCTGTTTCATAGTCTCATTGCCAATAGCAGTATTTAAAGAATCATACTGGGAATATCCTAGCAATTTTCCCAGGAAAGATTGATTATAATGTGTTCTTCTAGGGCTCATGGCTGAAGACATATGAAACATGCTGTGATATGGAGCTTTAATTACAGCTGAAAAACACATGTGACCTGAAGTCTCTCTATTGCCTGGGAACTGATCATCTACTAGTTTTCTGTCTATTTTAATCATTTAAATAGTGTTGTCGTTTTTGTTTCTCAATGCCTTACAGATAATCTAGAACCATTCAAATAGGTCCCTGGCCAACAAGCAGCTTGCAGCAAATTAATGATAACACAATTATAAGAGAATTAATAAAATGCACTGTACTAATCTACATAAAGGGGTTAAAAGCCCATTTTTTTTCTTTTTAGAGAAGTAATGGTTTTAAAATGGTGGAAGATTACACTGTTGAACAGTCGTTGCTAAATGTATGTAAACCCAATCGCTAAAAATCTCGTGTAAACTTTACCACACTTTAAAGTCATTTCAATTGTAATTTTCAATACTCTTAAATCTGCAGCTTTCATTAAAATAATACTAAGTGATCCTGCTATAAAAAAAATAAAAAGTCTGCAATTATCTAGAAGTATCTCTTTGTAGATTGTCATTACTAAACATTTCTAAAGGTGCCTTTGTTGTTATTTGTAATATATGGGTAAAGTTCCTCTTTAAGATCGGGCAGCAAGGAAATATCTGAAGTGGTTGCTGAGCACCTGTAGAGAAACCATTTTCCTAATTAAGTCTTGTTTTTTTGCTTCAGGTAATGATCACCTCTTGTCTGTGGGTACATTTACTGTGAGGTGGTGTAGGTTTTTAAAGGGTATGTGCACTTTAAAACAAAGTCGCTTATCCTTTTGGCCCCCACCCCTGACCTAAATGATTTCACCCTCCCCCTATGCAGATCCATACTTACTGAGATCCATCAGGCACGGTCCCGCTATTGTCTACACCAGTGCCACAATGCGCCCTCTGCTGGCCACACCTACGCATTTCATGATAATCAAGTCTAAAAACTTTGCTCAGTTACGCAAGTGTCCTTTTGGATAGGCTTCTGACTTGGGTCTCTTATTAGACTAGAGACTCCATATTCACTTTCTTAAAGGGGGTACTCTACGTTCTAAAGCCTTCATACTTTTTGTTTCCTTTCACACTATTTCTCACCTTCTGATCTTATTACATAAATTATGGGTGGTACATTTTTCTGCCTCTAAAGCCCCCACCCTTTTACCTGCTTTTTGCTTCATCAGTTGCTGTTGGTGGAATCTCCGTGCTGTCACCTGACCTGTCTCTCCTGTTACATTAAAGCGTAAAGCCTAGCAAGCTACTAGACACAATAAATACACATACATATATGGGAGGTATTTTTCTTGCCGACTACAGTTCTATGCAGTTGATTTTGTGATACATGCATTCCTGCCAAACAGCATAACCAGGTCCTTGACCTTCACTTCAGAAGCACAAAAGCTTGATCAAGAACACAATGTCAACCAGCTGAATAGAAAAGGAAGAAGCAGCAGCACACTGATGGGTCATTCTTCAGCTCATGCTTCTTTTTCCTATCATCATGTTGTATGTCCTGTTCTGTGCATTACAGCAGAGCCTGGCTCCTAGTGCTGGCCTTCCCTCTTCCAGTCTGAGTGCTGTTGATGATAGGGATGCACCAATACCGTTTTTTCGTTATCGAGTACCTATATATTTTTTTGGTACTCGCTCATACAGTATACCTATACCGGAAGTCATATTAGGAAGCCAGGCGGCATGTAATGACTCGCCACCAGGCTTCCTGATTAGCAGGGAAGCCGTCTCCATGCTTCCTCGTCATCAGGTGACGAGGAAGCATGGAGCCGGCTTTCTGGCCAATCAGAAAGCCGGGAAGCGGGTAATGATTCGCCGCCTGGCTTCCTGATTGGCCAGCTCCTTGACCAATCAGGAAGCCGGGCAGCGAGTCTTACATGCTGCCCGGCTTCCTGATTAGCCTGGAAGCCGGCTCCATGCTCCCTCGTCACCAAGTGAGGAGGGAGCATGGAGCCGGCTTCCCCGCCAATCAGGAAGCCGGGCGGGGTGTAATGACTCGCTGCCCGGCTTCCTGATACTGGAAGTTCGTGTATCAGGCTAGGCATCGGAGCATTTGGGTTGATACGAGTACTGGTCCAAATACTCGGTATTGGCACAGATACTACCGGTAGTATTGGTATCGGTGCATCCCTAGTTGATAATATAACAGACTCAGAAACTTACACTAGTTACATATAAAAATATGTTCATTTTTAAAATTAATACATACCTGCATTGATTGGAGTTTTATATCTGCATGGAGTTCATCTTTTTAAACATATGTGTCCTTCAATACAATCCATAAGCTTCCATACAATTACATTACTTGCATTGGAGCACAACATTTTATCTAAACATGTGTAGATTTGAACCACCTAAACCGCTGGTGTTGATAGTAACCAAAAAGCTTTGATGCTTTTCCAAAATTGGGATAACTGGCTTTTGCAGTTTACATTATTTTGTCCACCTATGTTGCAATGTTGTTATTGATGCAGTTGTTTCCATTTATAGTTATTAAAAATAATAATAATCTTATTTTAAATAGAGACATCCGGTCTGAGTCTATCTGCTTCAATGGCCATGTTAATTATCTACATGTTAAATATAACTCGTAATTGTCAAGCCATATGTCCCAGTTCATTACTTTCTGTACTTTGTCATGCTGCTCCCCCAATAATTAGTAATGGCAGAATCGGTCTGTGTTTGTCTCTGTTGAGGAGACCGCTGTGAGTCATAGGAAGTGTCCCTTGCATGTCTATACCTGCAGTATGATTTTACAGTAATGAACGTTATATTGATTTTGTTTTGTTCTGGTGAATGGGTCTGACATCCTGTTTACAAAAGCCTCCGCTCAAGGTCAGTGATGGGGAAGGATGCCGTTGCAAAGGTATATTAAGGATTTTTAACATAGGAACCTTCGGGTTTCGTAAAATACATCAATCAACAAGCACTTTATACATGTTTTTATTGGGTGAAGGGCTAGATTATCTCCAGGGACAAAGGTGGACGTACTGATGATGCAGGTTGTGCTGTAACCTGGGGACCATAATGCATTTTGGCAGCCCAACCGGGAAACCTTAAGGGGTGTTGCTGGTAATGTGTATAAAGGTAATCTTAGGCATGAGATGTCAATTGTTCGATCTGGTTACTTTTGACCAGATTAGTAATGATGTGTATAGGACCTCCCAAACTGCACTGGTTGCTGCTGTCTACAAGAACAGTCAGGTGGATGGTGGCAGTTAAGAAACCAGCCTGAGATGCCACTGCTTCCCCTTGAGATAAGTAGCATCTCCTGAATCTAGCAGCTTAACTCATCTCCTGCTCCTTCCATAGCAACAAACATGACACTGGGGTGAGCAAAGTTGGTCAGATTGTGCATGCATGTTTAAAATTAATGTAAAAATGTAACCATTCTTTTTTTCCTTAGATTGTAGGCCCTGTGTACAGTTGGAATCACATGAAGCAGGTGCCGGTTATTGAAACGAAGAGCGAAGGAGGTACAATGGTCTTTTTACTATCTCATTTGCTGCAAGTTATTATGTTCTGCTTGTCAGACTTTTAATTTGTCCTGTGGCTTCCATTTATAATATTTAATAAAACCGGTTTACATTTTATTTTGAAGTGAAGCAGTACAAGAAATTACAGTGTACCATTGCTTATAAGGTTAGCATTGGTCATAAAATTGTACAAGTGAAAATGTTGTTCCACATTTTATAAATGCTCAGTGTATAACCGCAATCGACATGGATCAGGTTTAACCATTATTTGCATTACCCCATGTTCAGTGGTTGGCTCAGGCTGCAAGTTGACTTCTGTATATGCAGTCATTCATTTGAATAGTGGTGGAGCCTGGAACTGTGCAGTAACTTAAATGTAATGTTTAGTCATTTAACACATTGTTACTGCACTAGAAGTTAGTTGGTGCTTAGAAAGCCCTAAAAAGTGGTCAGAATGTGTCTTAACAGGCATCCCAATGGCTGGTAAAATGCACAGATGCAGTTTTAAGCAGGGAGCCATTTTCAAAACACTTGAAAAAGCTTCCATTTTTTTAAAATAATGGTCATTTGGAGGGTGCAGAGCAACTTGAAGTCTTTTAAATGCTGGAGGAGGCTTCTCAATGGCTGACGGTGGGAGCTGTCTACCAACCACTCACATCTGTACTCTCTTGTTTGTTTGCCATCATGCTGTGAGTGGTTGAGAAGCTGCTGAGCCACCTGTTTACCGTATACTGCAGCCGCACCATTCATGAGTACTTGGCCTAAAGGTCGTCTTCCTACATTTTTCAACAAGAAGGGATGAACCTGCCCATACTCTCGACAAATAATGATCTATTGGTGACTAAAGCTGCTCTTGCCAGCAGCAGACATCTTAGTTGAGCACATTTATTTTGAGTATTTTAGGGACTTGCTTTACTATTCATGGATCAGGGCAAATGCACTTGTGTGGAATTGTTGCCTCATGAGTTCTCATTGGATTGGGTACCTGTGAGTTATTGGCACAGTGGAACAGATATTTGGTATGAATCATAATAATTTTCTGATTTGGTACCTGTGTAGGCTAGTTCAGGTTTAGGTTTCTTTCATGCAGAGTGTACAGGATTGCCTTATGCTCATGTTAAGTAAGTCATAATTAGGGATGCACCGATATGTATCGGCTGCCGAAACATATCGGCTGAAAATGGCACTTTTGGCTTAATGCCGAAAGTGTAATTTTTCTGCTGATAGAGCGGCGCATCCGCTCTATCTTTCCTCCCCACTGGGCGCTGCTCTGTGTCCCAGCAGGGAGGAGAGAAAGTGTCACAGGCGGCCGAGCGCTGCGGGAGGAGAGTGCTGTGAGCTGCCGGCGTCTCTCCTCCCACACCGCTCAGCCTCCTGTCACAGTCTGGTAGATCGGTGTGGGCGGAGACAGCCAGCTCTGTCACAGGAGGCTGAGCTCTCCCGCACCGCTTGCTCAGCCTTCTGTGACAGCGTGTCAGGAAGGAGAGCGAGTACAAACACTCAGCAATCAGTGACGTAATTGAGTAAATAGAATGTTTACTATAGCCTCAATTATGAATGAATGGGAAGTGATCTACATCACCTTCTGTTTATTCATGATTGTGGATATGGTAAGCATACTCTGTTTTCATGTTATGAATGAACAGGAACACTCTCAGTATAGAGGATTCCTGTTAATTTATAACAGGGGCTGCAGAAAAAGAGATTGAGGACTCTGAATCTCTTTTTCTATTTTAAAAGGGAAATATCAGGGGTCTGTTTAGATCCCCCCCAATATTTCCCCGTAGCCCCTAAAAGTAAAGTAAAACATATTTAATAAATAAATAAAAATAAATTGAAAAAATTAAAATGAAAAACTTTCGGTTTTGACCTGACCAATTATTTTTATTTCGGTTTTGAAATTTCCATTTCGGTGCACCTCTAGTCATAATGTTTTAGCAGCCTTCTTGGAACTGATCTTTGAAATGACAGTCTCTTGTAACAAAGTAATAGTCTCTAGTCTTGTGTAACATGGCAGTAGCCTCTTACATGGCAATCTGTTACGCAATGTAATGCATCTCACCTCAAGGCAGTGTTGTGGTGTGAACAGGGCATATAGAGAACAATTGTTTTCTATGTGCCCTGGTGTTTAGCCTGCATTGATTTTTGCAGATCAAGACAGCTTAAAGAGGAACTTTGCTCATATCTTCAAAATAACAAAAGCACCTTTTAGAAATATTTACTAATGACAATGTCTACAAAAATACTTCTAGATAAGTGCAGGTTTTTTATTCTTTGCATACTTTTCTTCCCCAGTTTTCTGACAGTGGCCATTTTAACTAAGGGCAGATTACTAGATATCCCTTTACTTCCTGGAACTCTGGCACATGTGATTAGGACATGTGACCATGCACATCACCTCAGAGGAGGAAAATGCCTTTGCCTGAGATCTCATGAGATTACAGATGAGATTTCCCAGCAATGCTCTGCTGATGTAACCTTCCAAGGTAAAGGTCTACTTTATCTGAAGTGTTTTGTACAAGCCTATACAACATGCCAGCAATCTCTAACACAGCAGACTTTTGTAAAATGGCAGTGGTAAAAGTGGGTTTCAGGCAGGGTACAAGGGGGTTTAAAACCAGATTGTGGGCTGCAGGTCTAAAGAAATGAATCCATAACTTTCTACATTGTGGACCACTTTTAAAAATATGGCGGGTGTAAAGGTATGTTTAATGAGAGTACTGGATGCCGTGAATAAACCTGCACTTGTGTGTTTACATTGTATAATGAAGTTTTGTACCTCCTGAGTGCAGTATGTTTATTTCACAATGTTAACATATAACCATAGTCGACTCAACGACTGAGCCGTATGCATCTTTCTGTTGTGAAGGTCATGTGAAACAACACAATGCCATGTATGCACCAACTATATAGATTGTAAGTGTGTAACAGTGTTGGGCTGACTTATGATACGGAGGCAAAGGGAAAAAGATTGCTGGTCTCCTTCTGTTATCTGTACTGTTTGTATGACACATGAAATTTGATTGGGTGCTAGGTGGTAAACCTCCAGATTTCTTTGTTTTTATGGTTTTAATCTATATGTGTGGAAATTCTTGTATAATTTAATAAGAAATGTCATGAGAATGTGTTCTGTTGGTCATTTCCCTGTGCAGAACCATTGTTTGTTGTTGTCGGCTGTATTCTCAGCCACAATGGTAGCGTTATCTCCACTGCTGCCATTTTTCTTGCTCTCAATGAAATATTTGAATAATTTAGAGCTCTAATTAAATTCTGTTACAGCCCTCAAGTGGATTGGGGTTAGTTTACAGAAAGAAATCCTTTATGTGGTCCTCATATTTGTTTTAGAAACCAAAAATGTTTTGTGCCTTCCAGAGGATGCAGGCTGTATGGGTTTTCTGTTCCAGTCTGCTCTCTACCATAATGTGGGAAGTGCAACTAATAATGCCTAGAAGTGAAATACAGGCATACATATTAATGAGAACAGTGTAATCTCCATGGTTCATCCCTATTCTGAGCCTCAGAAATTTCAGATACTTGTACATCACATGTGTATATGATTTGTTAGGTTTGTCTGCCATCCAGTTTTTTTAGAATTACTATTAGTTTTGCTGAGTACGTCTATGTTTAGGTGTCATGTCTCTCTCCTGATCTTGGAGAGGAACTGCTGCACTCCTTACCGGAACCCCTATGTATAAAGGAGGGTGCTGCATTAACCACGGATGGTGCCGTGCATCTTCAAATATATGATAAATGTTACCATCACCCCTATGTCTTGTGTCAATAATCCATCTTCTTTATTGATGCAGACTGTCACAAAACAACGTTTCGGGGCCACGCAGTGCCCCCTTCATCAGGTTTTAGTATGACAATTACATTTCTCTCTCCTGCTCACAAGGAGAACAAGCTATGCCATCATGCTAATACTCATTATCCTATGTTCAGTATGGTCTACTTGTTTAGCCCTTGAAGACTTTATAACTTGTAACTTTGTAAAACTCTGACAAATGAATCACAAAATTCTACGGAGCATAATTGACCTGCATATTATCTTCTTTTCCCCATAGTGTTTTATGTATTACACACAATTGACAACTCCGTAACATAGGCCATCAGGGTCACCTTGTGGCTGAGCAAGTGTTTTTTTGTAAAATAGATTTTTATAAAATGTTTGAAAAACGCATAAAAAGACATTTTGAATACAGGCACAAAGATATAAACAGGAAAAAGTATGCGATACGATCACATAGGGTTATGCAAGAGAAAAGGAGGAAAAGTAACAAGTTAGAAACACATTTTTCCAGTGCAAACACATAAGAGAATTAACGTCAGTTAACACCACCGAGAAGTCGTGTACCAGTTTGCCCAGTGTTCCCAAAGTTTATTGAATGTTGTTGTCTGGGAATGGCAAAATGCCAAAATCCTTTCATAGTGATAATGTAAATAAACCAATCTTAATGTATAGTATACATTAGGGGGATCTGAAGACTTCCACCTCCTCCTTATCAACCTGGGAGCTAGAAGAAAATGCATAGCCACTACCCGCTAAGGGTGAGGAATATTCTCTATTCCTAAATGAAGGAGTGTTTTATGCAGGGTCAGAAGTTATTAACATTCCAGGTATTGAATTGAGGATCTGAAAAATTGTGGCCCAGAAAGTGCTAAGTTTCTTACATGACCAGAAGATGTGTAGTAGATTGTCAAATTGGCTGCATTTTTGCCAGCAGAGGCTAGAAACGTTTGTAGAGAACTTAGCCAGTCTGTAAGGTGTTAAATACCATCTTTAATATTATTTTTTGAGAAGAGATCCCATAAGTTAACACAACATGAGACAGATATTAAATAGCTAAGAACTCTGATCCATTGAGACAAAGAGTATTGGGTCACCAAGTCCTGCTCCCATTTAAGGAAGGACAAGGATTTAATGAATACAAGTTTGTTTTGAAAGATATAAATTAAAGAAATTCCTTTCTAAAGCTGGCCATACACCTTACAACCATCGC